GTCTAATGTTACAACTGATCGGGGATCCCTTTAAAGATGCAGTTCTGACCGGCTGCAGGACAGGATCCAGGCCTGAGGGTCCACAAAGAAGACGTGTCTGCATCAACCTGAGACAGATCTACTGACGGGTGTGAAACATCAGCCGTGGGACAGATGAGCCGTCTCAGCACGCAGAACAAGGAGCAGTTCTTTTACAGAAAGGAGCGTGGTGAGGCAGGATATGGGAGCTCCGCTTGTTGCCCTCCACTGCTCCCACMTTTACAGCTGCTGGGGGCAAAGGGCAGGAGAAAGCCGGACCCTCAGGGCTGTTTTTAGACCCGTCCCGACTCACAGGACAGCTTTGTTGGACAGCAGCAGAAGACGTGTTGCTGTGCACGCTGAAATCAAACCTGTTTCTGTTTCTCTGTTTCCTGTTCATTGTTTGGASGAGCAGGAAGACACAACACAACTGTCACTCAGAGCCTCAGTCAGCTCGACAAAATGTTTTATTAATCCTGAAGGGAAATTCAATAATCTGTAGATTCATATCTGAGCTGCTCTGTTTGGAGAATAAGGTTGATTTCAGACAGGAGCAGCTGAATCTGTTTATGACAAAGATTTATTCTTGTTTCTGTTTCATTTGAGTTGATTAAAAACAACAAAACATCAGAACAACTTTAAACCAACCAGTAAAACACATTTATCACACATTCAACCTTCAACTTATTATTATAAACGTGTTTAAATCCATGAGTGAGTCCTTGTGTTGGCAGGAGACAGTCAGTTAACTGACGGCTGTGAACAGAACTGTGGTTCTGGGCAGAACCAGTATCAAACCACCAGAACTTTGTCTTGTTAAAGCAGCTGAACCTTCCTGACAGCTTCATTATATGATTCCATTTCAAGACTTTTACACGCCGTGCCGTCCCACCGTGGTCAGGGGGTCCGCCCAGTTCCTGCAGCCGGACCACAGCTCCCACCATGGACCGCTTTCTCAGGTTTAAAAGTAGAACTGGTTCCAGATCCCTGCTGGACCTGGAGGACTGCTAACAGTTCAGGGTCACATGGTGAGCTGCAGCCTCTGATGATGATGATGATGATGATGATGATGATGATGATGATGATCTTCTTTCATTTTGAAACAAACTCTTATTTAACTTTATTTTCTTTAACAGATCTCTGTGAAGCTTTTATTTTCAGTCTCATTAAAACACGTTAAAAACAGCTGAGATGTTTTCTGACCACAGCTGACTGAACCTCCTTATTACCTGGCAGTGCTACAGCTAGCTGCTGCTGCTGCTGCTCAGCAGAGTTTATTTTATATTTCTTCCAAAACTTTTTAATTAAAACAAAACTGACTTCTTAGAATGAAGCAAATACAAAATTAA